AAGCAATGGTTACTGAAACAATGGACTGATTGAAGGCCATGCAACAAAAGGTTTGCATTGATTTTTTGACCATTGATTTGGGGTGCACATTTTGCTGTCTCCAACCAACTACTTGAACCATTATCTCAACGTCCTGTTCAACAATCCTCCAGATAAAATTGTTCATTGTCTGCTGGGTTCACCGACAATACGTACAGTCACTACACTTTGCAGGAAATCCTGTGAAGTGCTAAGAGATGTCATCCCGACACGAAAGGTGCTCGATCAAATGCAAGGAATATTTTATTATTACATTATCAGTTGTTCGGTGAAATACGACTTACCATAACCAGACCTCAAATCGTTTCGCCCACAATATGTACAGTCAATTCACTTTACAGTGTATTCTGTGAAGCACTTTGAGACGTCTTGAAGACGTGATAAGGCGCCAGGTCAAATGCAAGGATTATTATTATTATTTCAGTTGCGTTTCCTGAAAAAGGGCTGAAAGAGAAATCTAAATAAACAAAAGGACTTGACGTTGAGGATTTTAAAACATGTTTTTATCATTATGTTGGACTCCTCAAACATATAACAAACAAGCAAGCAAGCAAACAAAGTAAAAGGTAGGGTTTTACCATTGAAGAGACAGAATCAATAAAGTATCTCGATGATTTCAATGCTTGAATTGCGATGAGTGAAAATGAACTGAAACTGAACTGGGGCCGTTTGACATATCTCTGAAGTTCAGAATTTCACTGATGTTAGAAGCCAATCAATAACACAAGCACTCCATTCTGTTACAAGGACACTGACATTCTGCAAAAATACCTAGGGACATGCTGTTATCTTAGTCGGCTAAATTATCTCCTGTAAATATTCTGAGACTCATGACAACTGAGTCACACAATATATTCAGTAAATAAGAGGGCTGATTGTTGACCTCTGGTCACTCAGCTTTGGTTTAAATTGCATTCACTGGGATTAAAGCATTCACTGAGGTTCACACCAGCACCAATTTAGCACATTAATTCATATAGATTATAGGGCCATTAGGGATTGGATTGTGACCAGTTTTTGTGTCACCCTGCTTCTGTATTAAAACAATTTAATACTCTAATGCCCGATTACATCAGGCACACATAGGTATAGGTACTGGGATGAAAACCCACCCTTGTACGTAAACGGACAGAAATTCCTCATTTAGAAATCAGACAAGGTAGTATTTACTGTTATAATAATCCTGGCATTTGATATAACGCCTTATCACGACTTCGAGACGTCTCAAAGCGCTTCACAAAATATACTGTAAAGTGAATTGACTGTATATTTTGTGGGCGAAACCCGGCAGCCAATTGCGCACTGTTGGGAGGTACAGAGCCAATAAAACATCTGATGATTTCACTGGTTGAAATGTGACTGAGAGAAAACTAACTGAAACTGAACTGGGCAGTTTCACAAAGCGTATCTCTAAAATGCGGTGGATCAACTGATGGAGGAGCCAATCAATAAATAACACAACCCCCCCCCCCCACCTGTTTGTGGGACATTGCTGTGCGCAATTGGCTGCCGCGTTCGCCCACAAATATACAGTCAATTCACTTTACAGTGTGTTCTGTGAAGCGCTTTGGGACGTCCTCCCGACGTGAAAAGCGCTATATCAAATGCAAGGATTATTATTATTATTAAGGCCACTTGTATACACACTACCCAGTCAGGAAACAAAGGAACACAGATATGTGTCTGGCTGCTGGGTTCGCATTTCAAAAGCTATATTTGAAATGAACATAAAAACAGCAGGAACGAAAACAGAGAGAGCTGGGAAAACTCAGCAGGTCAGGCAGCATCTATGGAGAAAGGAAACTGAGTCAACGTTTCAGGTCCGCGACCCTTCGTCAGAAGGGTCTCTGTTTTCTCAGCTCTCTCTGTTTTTGTTTCGGATTCCAGCATCTGCAGTATTTTGTGTTTTGCTCATGAAAACAGCAGATATTGTTACATCTATTCATTTCGCCCAAAAATATACAGTCAATTCACTTTACAGCATATTCTGTGAAGCGCTTTGAGACGTCTAGAAGACATGAAAAGTGCTATATCAAATGCAAGGATTATTATTATTATAAATATCAAAACAGCAACATTGAAGTGCAGTTTACAGAACGTGGCTTTCTAGGAAATGAAATTTCTCCGAAACATCAGCAACAAGGAACCGATGCCCTTTAGTTACTCATTTGCATCTTGTTCTCACAAGATACTCTTTAAGAACTTTTCTTTCTGTTTGTGGCAATAGCAATGTCTCGTTGGTGGGGAGAAAGTGTTCAACAGAAGACACTCACTCCTTAAACCTCAAAGATGATGGGGATCTGAAAGTCAGATTTGAGTGATAACACATAAATTATTTGAGGACCATATTGGAACAGGTACATGTGCCATTAGTAGTCTTGTTGACCATCATTAAGAAGCATTACAAATGATGTGCAATCACTTTCATTGGTTAATTGTATAATTAAGAGCGCCTGTATGTGTTGAAATACGGCCCTGGGGCTATTAGCCCAACTCGCATTTTACATCCTAATCGAGCGAGAATTCACAATATTCTTCGACGGCTATTCTATTGAACCCTGGCCTCCTACCTTCCGTAGACAACACTCCCTCCACATGCACACACAATCCATTGATAAATTTCCTTTTAAATGTAGTCAGAGCCCTATCTTAAGCCAGGCTGGTCTCCAACTGTGTATTGAAATGGCATTCAAGGGAATGAGTGCGAGCTGCTCCAGTGGAATTTTCCTTGTTCAAACCCTGCCCTGAACAAGCCACTGAACTCGACTTCCTGCTGTCTCCTTGTTGATAACTTTAGATCTCTTCCCGTTCTAAGCATTGCCAAAAGAGTGTTGGCTGATCGTTTAAGATATCTTAAACTAGTGGGAAAATCAATCATTAAGTGCACAGATTCACTGCTGGTACAACCTGCAGAGAATGTCTAGGTAATAGTGCTTCAACCAGCAACTGTCAATGAGGGTCATACATCAAAAGAGCCATTGTAACTGGACTGATTTGCATCGTAACGTTTCAACACACTGGTTGGAATAACCCCATTCTCCCATTTATAGTCAATGAGGCAAATTCAGCCATAATGTAGTCATCATACTGTTGTAATCACTCTGCATTGTATGGCTCCCTGAGCAGTGAATAATAAATAGCCTGTTTTCGGTGCGACTTTGTGGGTTTTAGGCATTATGAAGGGGTCAACAGTCTGCTAGGAAGGAATGAATGGCATGAAAAAGTTAAAGAATGAGGAACGAGGAAATAAATTTCGACTGACTGCTTTCTTCCAGAAAACTAAAATGTCTAGTAGAGGCGAATTAGACTGTAGGGAACTTTGGGATCTCATTTGCAATGTTCCCTAATGGGTTTCCTTAGAATCCCGTTATAATGTCAACAATGCAGTTGAGCCGTTAGATTGAGGTCCCGTCTGTCTGTTCAAGAGGACATTGAAGATCACATGGTACTATTCACAGAGAGAAGGGAGTTTCTTCCTGGTGCCCTGGTTATGAATCCCCAGATAAAATTGATCATTCACTACATGGTTTGTGGGACCCCTAGTGCTGTTCCCAGATTGGCTGCTGCATTGACCTGCAAAATACACAGTCACTACCCTTTGCAGGAAAAGCCTGTGAAGCACTTTGACTCGTACAAGGTGCTTTATAAAATGCAAGGATGATGATTATTATTATTGGTAATTCCCATAGACACACAGGAACTTTGCTACTGAAGTAAATTGAGTCAGGGTTGGGTTGGTTAGCAGAAGAACCAGTTCCTGAGGGTTGGTTACCAGAAGAACTACCTCATTTGTGTAACTCAAGTTCCTTAATAAGGAATCCCATTAAAATTCTTTATTAAGGAATCTTAGAACTCAAATTGGACCCCGTTATAAACTATCTGGAGCAGAGCAGCACATGGGCAAATTCTAAATAAAACAGGTCAACTTTGAGTTAACTGTGATTCATGAAACATTTCATGCGCTGCATTTCTCTGTGACTGTGCAATTTCTGCCACTCCAATGTGTTCATGTTACCATGAGGTTAAGTTGTTGTAAATCTTTGCACGTTTCCTGCCGCTCTTATTGAGGAAATGCATATGTGTCCCTTGATATTACAATGTGTCTCTCTCAGACATAACTTTTAAGCACTTAAAGCTTAATACGTCAAAGGGTTTATGTAGCATCATAAACTGTGACAGCAACAGGGGAACAGTTTATGAATATCATCTCTTTAGCCCACAGTGGGCTGTATGTATCCTGGGAAAACCCTCCTCCATACGATTTACCCCATTTATTAAATGCAAGATTTACGAACAAGGCACTTGGCTTTCGATTTTGTTCAGGTCATAAGAACATTTAAAGCATGGAACAAGAAAGAGCCATTCATCCCACGTTCCATGTGTAATTTGCCTCATTGTGGACTCTTTCCAAACCATCCAATCTCCTGAGAGAGCCAACTAATAAAAGCTCCAAGTGAGCTGAAGCTCTTGTCAAATTGCTTCCCAAACCCCAACGGTAATTAACTGAAAGTTATGGACATTAATGCAACCACACAACCTGCTGAACTCAAGCTCAACCATTCACTCCTCTATCATCAAGAACAGGAAACTCTGCCGAGTGCTTGAGTTGCCAGTGCTGCAGAATTTAATAATAATAATAATCCTTGCATTTGATATTCCGCCTTATTGGGTCGTTGAGACGTCTCAAAGCGCTTCACAGAATATAGTGTGAAGTGGATTGACTGTGCATTTTGTGGGTGAAATTTGGTCTATTGCTGTGTAGGATGGATTCTACAACAACTGCAGTGACATTCAATGATCTGATTTCAGTCCGGATCACCGGACCTTCCGAGATGTGTTGGGAATATCTCCACAGGCCAACTATGCAGCACATAGGACATCGGCCTGTGTAGATGTGCTGAACGCGAGGCAAACATTTCTGTCCGTACCCCTCGCAGTCTCCCCAGAGGCAGCACTGTTACCTTGCTGAGAAGCTGCTGAGGTCAAGGCTGCTTTCCAAGACAGAGATGTGAAGGTAGGTGCATCATCCATCTACTGTGAACACAAGAGAGGTTCAGATGAAGAAGGCATTTTATCCACTTGATCTCAAACCCTCCTCCCATGATGGCATCGAGGACAACAACAACTTGCATTTATGTATCGCCCCTCAGGCAGGGTAGGGTCCCGGAGAACTTATGGTTTTCCAGGAACTCCATGGTTTTCAATCCCAGCACAGTAGCAGTGAGTTTGAACGAAGGATTTCATAGCGAATGAAAACTGGTTGCAGGGATTAAGAACCAAAAGCGTCCTGTGCACAAAAGAATTAGAATCAGATTAACTTTCATGGCATTCCAACTGCATGCATTCCCATGGTTTCCAATTGCCGAGCGACTACATACAAACTCCTACAAGCTTTGTCGCTGGTGTTATTTTAAGTCTTTTTTTCCCAATATATCCAAATGTTAAAATCAAGCCTGCAACGACAAAAAAATAACAGAGCGCCATTTAAAGGTTTAACGATTCCAACTCACAAATAAAGTCGACAAGGTACAGTGATAACATCCCCTGCCTCACACCGGCAATTCAAACCAATCACTTTGCGGTTTTGCTTCATTTAGTGAGCATTGTGGAGTGTTAAGCTTTACGTTGTCCCGTCCTTCAAGCGCTCTGAGACGCTACCCTACGTGGAGGGTGCTAGCTAGATGTGTGCAAGTTGTTGTTGCTGTTGTTGTAATTGCTTTGTGGCATCTGAACGAAGATGATACCCACTAGTGTGTCGCCTTACAGAGGGGGGGAATGTCTGTAAGTAAGAACGTGGGATGGGTTTTTCAGTGTCCAAGCACTTGCTTTCTTTCGATTTATTTGACGTTGAGTTCTGAGCAGCCCCCGAGGAGCTCCCTGTTCGTCCCTATCAAAATAAAACAAACTACAGGACTAAAGGCACAATAACAACTTTGTTGAACATTCACATTTATCTTAGAAGGTCAAATAGGCCATAAATGGCTAAGCCTTCAGATAAAGCAGCACAATCTGTATCTATGTGTACCCTGAGCACAAAGTCTCTTTGTCCAACAGATGAGGTGGTATGTTACATTTTATTTCTCTACAGCAACATAAGGAGACATATTCACAACTACCTTTGTGACTGGTTTGCGACAAATCCTCCCACCGGTCTAGATACTCGTTGTAGAGACAGCCTCCTGTCTAGCCTCCTGCCTCCTCCTCCCTCGCCCTCTCCACTCTACCATCGGCGGCCATAGTCCTTTCATTCACTACGCCCCGAAGCTCTGGAAGTCCCTCCCTCAATCCCTCCGCCTTACCCCCTTCCCTCCCCACTTTCAAATCCCGCCTAAAGACTTTCCTTTTTGATCGTTGCTTACGGCCACCTCCCCCCCCACTCCCTCTCTGCCCCTGGCTCGGGGTCAGACTCCGCCACTGTCGAGCCCTCCGGGAAGGGCGCTATATAAGTGCAAGTTGTTGTTGCTGTTGTTGAATCCGCTTCCAAATAATATCACAAACCCCGAAAAACAAACCTGAATTCTGAAAACCCCGTGATTGCCGTGCAAACAGCAACATTTCTCTAATAATAGGTTGTGCAGTTTCAAGGATCGTGCAATATTTTCCAATTGTTGATTCACTTCACGGCTATTTTGGGGGACGATGCTGTGAGCGAATTGACTGCCACTCTCGCCTACAAAAACGCGCAGTCACTACACTTCGCAGTAAACCCTGAGAAGCACTTTGAGCCATCCTCCCGACATGACTGGAAGGCGCTGTGTCAAATGCAAGAGTTATTTATAATAAAACCCTTTAAACTATGACAGGGAGTGCAAACGCTGGTGCAGTAGAGGGGGCCAAACTCAAACGAGCTGCAATGTGGTTCCTGGACTGTGATTATGAAGTTATTATTCTGTAATTACATTGCTATTCGTGGAATTTTTCTTCAAACTAATGAAGCTGTCAGAATGTCAGCTCTTGAAGGTGGGGGTGGGGGTGGGGGGGTGTCGAGAAGTATTGATGCATAAGGTCTAGGCACAGATTCGGATGAGAATTCATGGCAAAGAGGACAGAACTGCATCCATGTGTGAACTCCCCATTTTCCAGGTCAACTGATGTGCTGGGGCTAAAATATTAATACACATCAGCCATGCAAATGAGATTTGTGAGTGTTTCAAGCGCAATGACCTCAGGTCAACGATGCAAATAATATAGTTCGATTTCTATATTTATTTAAATTGCATTTTCGTTCCAACGTCTCAAACTGTATCCAAAATGCAGCTTTGAGATGTGTCGACAGTAGAGGCATTATATCAAATGCAAATATTATTATCACCATTAATAGCAATAATTACTATTATTATATGAAAATCATAAGCCTCTGTTCTACATTTTTACATAACTTCATGAAACATATGCAGCATGTGTTCAAGGGAAACCTGAATGAACAAAACAACCACAAGTGTGCATTTTAATCAAGAAAACATTTGTGTGTGCTTCCATTGAGATTCCAGCCATATACACCAATTAACATCTTGTTTCTGCTCTCCTCTCTCCTCACCACCACCAACCCTCACCCTGACCAAGTTCAGATCAAATCCAGTAACTAGCACATTTGGACATCGCTAAGAATCTTGTAATCATCTTGAAATGCCCGATAGGACCTTCTCTGTATATTGTTGTTATTGTAGAGGACCCTGTCTATATATTGCATTTCCCCCACAAAATATACAGTCAATTAACTTTACAGTATATTCTGCAAAGCACTTTGAGAAGCCTCAACAATGTGATAAGGTGCTATATCAAATGTAAAGATTATTATTATTATGACTATTGTCATCACCACTTGCATCAAAAAGTTCATGAACATAAAAGTTAGCTACGAGAAAAACAATTAAAATCTTTTATCTTAGAAATACATCTAGGAAACAGTAAGACATAAGGAAAGTAAACATACATTAAGGAAACAAGTTACCTGGGATGTCTGATGGTAAAGGCACTGATTCCATAGCCAAATTGTGATTTTCAGAACCAAGTAATAATAATAATAAGCCTTGCATTTGATATAATAATAATAATAATAATAATCCTTGCATTTGATATAGCGCTTTTCACGTCGGGAGGACGTCCCAAAGCGCTTCACAGAACACACTGTAAAGTGAATTGACTGTATATTTGTGCGCGAATGCGGCAGCCAATTGCGCACAGCAAAATAAAGTACTAACAAACTTATTTGGCTCTGGATTAAAAATCATGAGCCTGGGCATGAGACAGTTCATCAAAGAGGTTGAGATTTTACCAGAAATGAGGGTAAAATGTCATTATCCACCCTCAATGTGAGAAAGATTCCTGTTAGCAAAACTGCTGGCAGTGCCTCATTGGTTCTTAAAAGTGCCCTTATAGTGAATGCAATGAGGTTTACCATCCACTGATGCTGTAGTATTATATGTAAACCATTCATGTGATATGACTTCAGGGCATTTCATAGGGTCAGGTTTGCTGACATTTTTCTGTTGCATTAAGATTTCAGCCAAGCCAAATCTCACCCGTAATGAACAGTCACTGAGAAAGGACAAAAGGCTATTGTGCTTAAGAGCGAAACCTTAAAACGGTCTTAAATGTAATCTCCAATCTGGGATTTATTTTACAGAGCTGTGCAGAACTGCTGAATTGGCTGCACATCTGTTGACAAACACACACGTGGAAGGAGTTCTCTGCAAGGATTTTGCAACTTCTGAAAAGCTCCAGTCTCAAGCCAGATGTCTCACAAAATAACACTATCGTGCAATCTTGTGCTTTCAGACTTCCACAGTTACAAACAGAGAAAGAGAGAGCGAGAGAGAAACAGAGCCTCAGAAACACATCTGCCTTTACAAGAAAGTGTACCTTACAGTGGAAATCCCTCGCAGCAGCAACACTTACCTGATGTGCGTGTGAAGTCAGTTGAAATAAAGTTTTGCTGTGAACTCTCGTGACTTTCCAAGAGCTCCACGCTCACATCACTGAGTGAAGGCATTCTACCACCCAGTTGTTCATCTGCTGCATCCCAACTGGTGTGCTTCTAAGGACATCTGTCTTTGGGATGTGCCATGTATGAACAGAGGGGCTGGCTGAGAGGGGGTGGGTGGGTGTTAGCAATGTGTTCAGCTACTCATGTTCTGTTACCGAACTGCGCACTTAAAAAACAAAGCCAAACCCAAAGCAAAACTGCCCCAACTATTCTGTCCAAAGCCCTCTGCCGAGCACCAGAAAGAGTCGTTTGATTGAAACACGAGCTGCAAAATGGTCTCTCTCTCTCTCTCTCTCTGTGCCAAAAAAAGTCCTTTGTTCCACAAAGAGCAGAAACTCATTGATCGAATGGGTTCCTTCAAGCAGCACTTAAGTCCCCTGGGGTGGGGGGGAAGAAGTTGTTCTACACCCCCCCCCCACCACCACCTCCTATCACCACCGCCACCGCCCCCTTTTCAAATAGCCCTCTTCGATTCCCAGAAGAAAGTTTTTTTTTGTGTGAAGAACGGTATGGAAGCAGATTTTTTTTTGGTGCAAAGGTGTCTGTCACCGCGATCCCGGGGCTGTGAGTGTGAGCGGAGGAAGCGGGTGAGCGGTTTTGTGAAGGAATCAGTCGACGAGTTTCGAAAAGTTACAGCGTTTGCCTGTCTCCTGCACAACACTGCAACTCTCTCTCTCTCCCTCTCTCGTCTCTCTCTCCGGAGGAGGATTTCACGGAACTTCTGTCCTCGCGCTCCGAGGGTGGTGGTGGTGGTGGTCACGGTTGTTGCCGCAACAACCACAACAACAGCGACAACGACGACAACGACGACAATAAATCACATTTATCTGGCGCCTTTCTCGTCAAGAGGACGTCCCGAGGCGCTGATCTTGCGACAACTGGAAGTCGCAGTCAACAGCAACGACGACAACGTTCGCGCCCATCGCCCAGCGGTAGCGTCACGGACTCCTGTCGAACCGTCGAGTCGAGAGAGCGAGCACCTTGACGATGATGATGATAATAATAATAATTATCCTTGCATTTGCTATAGCGCCTTATCGCGTCTCGACGCTCTTCACAGAATACACCGTAAAGTGAATCGATTGTGTATTTTGTGGGACAAACGGGGCAGCCAATCGTGCACAGCGGCGTTCCCCGCATTGACGCGCTTCCAAGTCGCGATGTGGGGCTCGAACCCACAGCCTTCTGACTCAGAGGCGAGAACGCGACCACAGAGCCAGGCTGACAAGCTCGGGGAGACTGCAAATCGCAGTCCTATCACATCGAGAGAGCGAGGACCTTTGATACATCTATTGTATCTCGACAGATAATCACAGCATGCCAAATGGTCAAGAGAATGTCGGAGGTGGGGGGTGGGTGGGGTGGGGGGGGTGGGAATGGAGGAGGAGGAAGAAGGGGGCATTAATGCATGGCAAGAGCTTGCATTCCTTCCAGAGGTCCAACCAGCCAATTGCCAGAACGCTTCATTTGCAATAACACAAATAATTGCCAGGACACCCAGCAGTTTTCCGTGTAACCTAAAACTTTGTTTTTGTTAATAGAACAAACGCCAGAAATGATGTTAAAATTTTCTTGCGGAGGAACTGGATGACAAATGAATTAATTGCCGTTTAACGCTTTCTTTGTTAAAGACATAAACTTTCCAGCTTTTAAGAGCTTGGCTGAATCTCACGCTTCACCGGCAGCTCTCGATCTTCTGTTCCAGCTTTAGAAACATGAATTATCCTCATAGTTAATCATTTTTATTCATCGTATTGCTTGACGTAGACTTTGAAAGTACACAAAACACATTGAATTCAATTTTTCCGAATTCATCAGACTTTATAAACTTGCCTAAAAATGTTCTCTTTAGTTACGTAATGTGTTACCTTCACTTTATGATTAAAAATCACCATATCTCTCAAACACTGGTGGTCAATGCACAGGTTGTTCTCTTACTCACCAACCCCCCCCCCCACTCCCCCCCACCCCGATAAGAGACGACAGAGGAACTGATTCAAGCTGTCAAAGATGCATTTTGATGTCACGTCGAACATGATGACGGATCATTATCTCATTATCTGCCGTGAAAATGATGGCGGTCACTCACAGCCATCCACTGGACGTCTAAATAAAGTTAAACGCTTGTAACTGAATATAATGAAGTACTTCTAAATACAATTAGCATCATTCTTCCACACGTTTCAGTTGTTGTCTGTAAAAAAACCACGCAGGGGTAACAGGACTTTGTGAACACCCTGTACCCAGCCCTTTTCTGATGAACGTTGCCGATATGGTCGAATTCAAATGATTTCCGCTTTCTGCGAACATGCAGCAACAACAACAACAAATTGCATTTGCAAAGGGCCTTTCACGTCGGGAGGACGTCCCAACGGCTGGACGGTCAGGGATTTGGACACGAGCAGGCGGGTTGGGATCGGGGTGGGGGGTGACGGGAGTGGAGGACGGGGAGGGTAGGGGTAGGGAGGTGGCCAAATGCACGGTCGAAGAGGAGGGTTTGGAGACGTGCTTTGAAGGCGCTAATTAAACACTGCACGATTCAGCATTCAGCATTTTCGGTTAAGGGCAAGTCATTGTACAAAGAAAATCTTTACTTGTATTCCCGGATCACCACCTCACTATTTATTGCAACGTATTTTAAACTGGGCACATACAATACGATGACTGGAGTTGAGATGCGTAACAATGAAAAATGGTGAATAAAATAGAATTCAAAGGCTCCCATAGCTTGTGTTGACCGTATCATTTATCCAGAGATTCAATCAGCCTGACGTGTGAATCATTCTCAGCTGTTAGCTGTAACGCCAGGCTCCCTGCACCGTATAACACGCAGTCAAGCATTTTCAAGCGGATTTGAACACTTACTTTGGAACATTTTTGTTCGACTTAACAAGAGATTCGGCGCATTTTCTCCATGAGTGAAACTCAACTGGAAATCCAACGTTATTAGGCAACCTCCACTACTGTTAATGCTCTTTGCAAATAATATTTTTCACATCAATTGGGATATCAGCTGGTGTGTGGGGCCTGTCTTTTTGATATAGAGGAGCTGTAGGTGTAGACCCAGAACTTTTCGTTCTGTCCAGAACCAGTTTGTTTTTCTCTTTTCTCGTCTTGCCATCATCCGGATGGTAGGTTGGTGGCACGAATCACGGCAGCAAAGGCACGTGATAATAGTAATAATAATAACCATAATAATCCCGGCATTAGATATGGCGACTTATCACCTCGTTGACACGTCTCAAAGCGCTTCACAGAATATACTGTGAAGTGAATTGACTGTGCATTTTGTGGGCGAAACGTGGCAGGCAATTGCGCATATCTAATTGGGTATTTCAATCAGGTTGAAACACGTAACAAAGTGGGACGCTGCTGTGCGCAGTCAAAACGTCTAATCTACAAACCGGGTTGACAATCCACAAACAAAATTCGCAGCTTGGTGTTAATCGATGCCCTTGATTATGTGATTAAGGACAACAATTGATTATGTAATTAAGGACTACATTTATGTAGTGCCCTTGACGCGTCTCGGAGCGCTTAGACACCCAACAACCCACGCAGAATCTTGTGCCAGAAGATTGCTTTGTTCTCCGACAACTTGGATTCCATGACAATCCCGGGCTGGAGTATGCTCCATTGCCCCCAGCTTTGTCAGTGTCTCTGGAATTGAGGGGGAGCGAGTGAACCTGATTCCTGTGGGGTGTATAAAGCTTAGGTATGTAACAGTCTCTCCAGCAGTGCAGATCAGAGCTCCAGTGCCTCTGCCCCAGCAGTTAATTTCATTCCAGTTCATTTAAAATCCGTTCTGAAGACACAAGAGTCTCACATTGCTGAGACTAAGAACCTTCGCACTGGAACTAAACAGAAACATTTACATTTTTTTTTAATAAAAAAAACTTTTCTTTCAACTTCCCAGCAATGAGAGAGAGAAGGGAGCGAGAGAGAGAGAGAGAGAGCAACTGCAAATATAATACTTCACCACTGTGGCCTTATAAATGAATACAGAACGAAGTATTATTCTTCCTTTTATTAGATTGGGCTTACATTAAAATGCTTTTTAAACACAAACCCGATGCGTGTATTTGGATGCGACGCTCGTGAATTTTATTTTTTCGTGCTCGACTGTAATCTCAGATATAAAGTGATACTGTACAGGACTTGATATAGGAATAAGGAAACTAAATACTGTGCAGTCTTTATAGAGGAGCACCTGGGAACTCTTGATTGAGTGATTGATGTGTTGGAGCCAGTCTGTCTGGAGTTTGGGTGAAAAGTGTTCAGTTTCACCTTTGCACAAGTTCTCCTGAGTGAATGAGCCTCTGCTATGTTTGCTCTACAATATATATTCTGGATTGTTTTGCTGTGAAACACACTTTTATCAGCAGCCGTGGTTATTTATCGCAAGTGTGTTGATTTGGCTGATATTGTCCTGGCTCAAATATTTGTGACTTTGAGACCAAACACCAGGATTTGAGTTTATAATCTGGTGCAGTACTACAACAACAACAACAACAACAACAACAACAAGATTACATTTGTATAGCGCCTTTCACGTTGGGAGAATGTCTCAAGGCGCTGGACGGTGTACAGGAATTCAGACCCGAGCTCGGGTCACGGGGGGAGAAGGGAGGGGAGGGGAAGGGGTGGCGGCCGATGGGATGGTCGAAGAGGAGGGTTTTAGTACAGAGAGAGAGAGATAGAGCTACATTCTCAGAGGTTCATTGCAGAAAGCTAAAGAGAAGTCCTGTTTGACTGTTCTGGTAGTTTCAAACGGCATTAAGATCCCATTCTAACTATTTAATAGAGCAGGAACTTTTCCCAGTGTCTGGTTAACCTTCTTCAAAATACAGATGAATCTGTCGTTCCTTTCATTAGCTGCTGTGTCTATCTATTGAACGACAGTCATCTACACTTGAAAAAAATAAAACTCATCATGTCAAGTGCTTTGAGATGTTTCGTTGTGATACGGCAAACATCAATATTATTAGTAGAAAGTTCGAACAGACACAGTACAGTAAGTCCGACATGAATCTGGGT